CTGTTAGTCCTGCTGAACAAGAAGGGGGCAGGTGACCAGATTGGTCGAAAATACTTTAGCCTCCAAGTCAGAAAACTCAAAGGAGATCTCTCTTCACACTAATTACCATAGGGGGGAAAATTTCCACATAAGGGGGGCAGTTGTGCAATATTCTATTCTTGCTCCACTCTCTTGCATTTCTCCAAATTTTCAACAGGACAACTCCAACAGTATGCTTGTGCTGTTCCCCATCCCTTTTTTCTCTAGGCTCATATTTTTTATTGGAAAATATTTTCTAATGTACCTTTTTTGCCCTTTATAGGGCCTTGTCAATAGCACTTTCCCATGATCTAGAAATCTTATCTCAAACAAATCCCTGTAACAGTGACAGCCAACGATCCAGCATCTGCAGAATCCTTTTATCTGTTTCTGAAAGAAGGTAAGGAAGTGGCTACCCTGTATTTCGCTAAGCACAGGCAAAGATAATCCCTCTCACAATCTCCCCCCACCCCAGCTATTTCTAGATTGGCCAATACTTATTTAGGAATAGGGATAAAGCTGGGTGAATAAGGGGCAGGGAAGAAAAGACATCATTGAGATAGTGAGAAAGAAAGAAAATTGCATTTGTACCTAAGATGAGAAGCAAAATTTCAAATTCCAACATAGCAGTTGGACCAAAATAGTGAATTTTCTGCTCAACTTTGTAAAGTTGCCAGAGTAAGATTACCCAAGTTCTAGGCCAATTTTTGTGTGTGAAATGAGTAGAGACCAGGAAAGGGCTTAGCACAAGATACAAATTAGAATTTATACAGAGTATGAGTCTGAAGTAGAATCCTTTGGAGATCAAAGCTCAAGATGGCTACAATTGTGCAGTCAAAGCTCTGGTCTTTTTATATGTGCGTTGTGCAATGAGGAGCTGCCTCTTCTGTTATATCTACCCATCCATCCATCAGATCCAGCGGAAGTATGGTCTGGATCCTGCCTGAGAAGGAGTTCCATTGATCAGGACTCAGGCAATGCACCTTTCCTGCTATAACTCCACCCCCAGGAACATCATTCTCCATGAAGTGAAGTTATCCCCATCTCTTGGTAAAGCCTTCATCAATAAAGGAAAATATTTATAGCTTAGAGTTGAAATGAAGGGGTGCTCTCTGAGCTTGTTTTCTTACAGACATTTCATTACCCAAAATATCGGTGCTGATGATGTTACTTAATTTGGGTAATGAAACATTGTAAGAAAGCAACCAAGCATAGAGAGCACCAAGGACCCTTCAGAAAACTTTGAAAATGTTATACAATCTATCCCAGGAATGCCTGTGATGAGTCTGTGAAGTGGTTGAATGAGACTAAATGACAGTTGTCTTCCTGCAATATTTGGGTTCTTTATTCCTTTATGCTTTTTTCCCCTTATTTATGTCTGATTTGTAAAATATTGTGATATGGTTCGGTTATTTGTAAGATGCCTACAAGCACTTTTTATGAGATGGGAAGCTATAGAAATTTGTTAAATAAAGCAATATAAGAAAAGCGTTGGGCCTTCAATCATATGATTATAGCACCATTTCTACTTTTTTAAGACTTCCCCTAAACAGCCTGGAAAAACTTTTATTTCATAATAAATGATAGGCATATGCATTTAAATTTATTGTTGTAATTCACAGTTTAAAGTGTGGATTACTGCTTGATTCCAACCTGTAATCACTCTGGGGCAGCCAATCATATATTCTAGTTTCCTCTTTATTCTAATGGATGACTAAGGTCTCAACCACAGTGTTCACTGGATCCTCAAAAAAACTGAAAACCCACTGGATTCCTAAGCACCTAGAACCTTCTCAAATCGGTTTTCTCTATTCAACAATACTTGTTTCTCACATGCAAGTTCACTTCCTATACGTTTGAGCAGTCTAATTTACTATAACTGGGTCAAAAATATTTACCAGATCTATTGCAAATAATTCAAATCAACCTGTTACACTTTCAATTTATTTTGGTCCTAAGATTCACATGCATAGCCTACACTATTGAGTCTCTATTGACCAATTTGAGCTAAGCAACTTCATGCAAAATGAAGCAGCTTTCCCAGCTGAACCAGCTCTTGGATCAGGTGTTTGTCAACCTTAAGCAACTTTTATACGGTCTTCAACTCCCAGCATCCCACAGCTTGCCCTAGACCATGGGTGTCACAGCTTGCCATTTTGTGTTTTCCCCCTTTGCAGAGCTGGGGGGGGGGGGCGTGACCTGCACGTGATGCACCCAGCCCACAGGCTGCCAGTTTGACATCCCTGCCCTAGATAAAGCTTATCTGTTACTTTATAAGATTCCAATAAGACTTCTGAAAGATATTGTCAGTGGATTTGCTTTTGGAGATAGGTCAAGAATGTCAGTTGGTTCAAAATAATAATAGGTTGGTGAGGATCAGTGTTGACATAAATACATTGCTCTTGATCAGTATGCTTTTTAAACATCTAAATGACTTGAGATATACAGGAGAACTTTGTTTCATAAACTTGCTTGCCTGCTGCAATTCTCATAGAAAACCCCTCTGGTTTGCTTACCTTCCAAGGCTTAGTAAGCGGGAAACATTGTGCTACATTTTTTGTAATGCTTATCACAAGTTGAGATTTGCCAGACTCTTGGTCTTAAAAATAATCTACACAAAGATGTTTTTATCACCCCAAGCTTTAAAAAAATATGATTTGAACGGATTATTTCCATTGCTATTTTTGCTAGTTAATTTCATCTAAATTAGTACAGTTATTTCAACGGTTACATTGGTTGATTTAATCTATTTGGTGAACCATCCTTGATGTAGAAATACTAAAAGCCAACATATATAATTCTAAAGTATACAACATATGGGCTGAATTCTGGCTATCCAGAGCATTTCCAAGCTCTGGCCATCCAGGCCCCTAATCTTAATTATCATGAAATTCATACAAACCTGGGAGTTTCTCAGGAAATAGCAAAACACTCATAAATCCATGCTTCTCTAGTGGCTGAGCAAAAGACAAGTTCAAGAGGGGAAAAAAAAAACAAGAGGAGAGAATTAAGAGGCTTGATCTAGATGAGATCAGAGAACAGATCATCCATATACACAATAAAAAGTAGCATCAATCTGTTAAAAAATCACTACTTTAGCAGTAGTACAAAGGGAAAAGGGAAATGCATACAAAGACCTGGCCACGCAGTCTTCAGGAAAATATGTGGGCCTTAACAGCATATATTTTAATAATTTCCAGTAGGCTTCGAACCTAGAGGATCCACTTATAATCATCTTACTATCATTCTTAATCCTTAATGAACCACAAACACAAACACAGTTTCATTAACATTAAGAGGGCTTTTGGAATTTATTCTTTAAAAAAAGTAATGAAATTAAATACAAAAGTTCTAATGCAATATTAAGATTGGAAATTTAAAATACCCCCCTTCCTCTGGGAAATGCAATATGAAAGATTCTTAAGAACAGCTGAAAATTACCCACACTGAACTAATGTGGCAATTTGAAAAGGTAAGAGCAAACGAATTTGTCTCCTTAACATTCAGTAACCAGTCCTCTCCAGTGAAGACGGAAAAAATATTGAGGAAAACACAAATGTTGCCAAATGCTTCAACATTTGTCATTTCTCTATGGTTACCCTTAACACTGCATCTCTGGAAAAGTGCTTTATTTATCACCATAAGGAAAACTGTGGAATTCTCTCACCCAAGCTTCATTTTTCTATAATGTCCTCTCTCTGGAGTAACTTCAGAAGTCAGAATACTGATCCAAAAACTTCATGTAAGACAAGGGCAAAAGGTAAAGTCTCTTTACACAAAGGCAAACTACCTTTATACTATCCACCCGCTCAGCCTCTTTAAATGTGTATTCATATTTTAACTTCCATCATTGTTGCAGCAATTTCCCCCAGGCTTTTTCTTAAAAGTAGATGATGGTCATAGATCCCAATTCCAATGTCCCAAGGAGGACAATATTCTCAACCCCTCACAATCTGCACAGTGAAGGATAAACACGACAGGTGGAAAAAGCAGCATGCTCTCAGTTCCAACATGAACCTTAGAGCAGGCAAGAATTGAGGACACTCTCGTTCTGTTCTTGAGATGAAATGCCTGAGGGGGGCTAAGTATTAGCAGTGTTCTCACTGCAGATACATAAAGAGTTGTGCCTGCCCACAATCTTAGTTTTTCCACTGCCCTGTCAGGAAAAGAACTGTTCCTGTTGCACTCTATGTGGCCCTTAGAGCCATTAATCTAGTTACAAGGAAGCTTCTGGAAAAAAATATCTCTCATGAATGTGAGCATCTTCTGCAAAGCACACACAAGATAGAGAAATTAGCACATAACTAGTTACAGCCCTGAATCAAGGTCTGCTCACTCTCATCCTCCTCTCAGCATTGTGCTCAGAAAACAAGGGAGGTAACTCTTGTAGCTCTTACAATGCTTGTAACAATCATGGACATGTTATGTGGTCCAGAAAATTAATACCCTGAGGGAAAGGAAGTGCAGGATTTTACCAGACGTGCATGTACACTTAAAAGTGTAGGGACACATGCACACAAAATTCATACTCATGCCCAACACAGAAACAGAACACACACACGCACACTCAAATTCACCATAATCCCTGCAGCCAAAGCACAATCTTGAAATGTTTATGCACCGTTTAGATTTCAGTAGGACTTTATGTGCCCTACCTGGGGGAAGGCAGGAGGGAGGAACATCCAACAGTCCTGGTCCATCCCAAATGTGTGGGATCATCAAGTCACTCACAAATTTGTCCTCACACAATGCTGCTTTTAGCAGACAGGAAAGCAGTGTAAATTGCACAGAAAGCAGTCTGCCCTAGACAAGTTCTGTCATGGCTGAGGGAAGAACAAGCAAACCTCATATTCTTGCCTTAGGTATCCCATCTACTGCCAACAATGAGAAGAATCTTCATTTGTTTAGAAAGGCACCTGAACTGATTTGTTTTTATGCACCAATATTAGCAAGTAAGTTCTTCCACTTTTTAATCTACAGCATTTGCAGGCTTAGTAGAGACAGTTTTTTTTCACTTAAAGCCCAATTGGCTTTTTGTGCCTCTGTGGCCGACGGAATAATCAGAATATTGAAATGAAGGAACAAGAAATTGCAAGTTTAAAGCAAAGGGGAAATACTTTGAAGATGAAAACATCAACCGAGTATGAAGGATAAAAATCAAGGACTGAAAATAAAAGTGTGCAAGGATAATGTGGTTTTATAAAACACGGATAGAAACAGTTACAGCAAGGACAGAGGCAGGCTGGATGGGATCAAAGTGTGAATAGATATATCTATCCAACTATCTGTATATAGATTTATATATATATATATATATTTATATTTATATATAAATTCAAGTGGGGAGAGGGCCAGAGTCTGTTGTTTGGGAAATTTCCCCTTCTAACTGGTCTCTCTGTGCAGTGCAGGATTGATTGTTTCCACCATTTCCTCTTCTCCATGTTCACCCCCTGGAAGATTCCTCTGATTCTTGCTCTCCAAGCATCACCACAACTACAGCCATCTTATATCCAGCCTGGCTTGGCAGTAAGGACAGTGAAGGAGGCATCTGGACCGCACACGTAGAGAGAAGTAGCCCAACAGTTCCCTGCCCCAGGGGCTTCCCGCAAAGACCTCCTTTGAGCCTTGGGTTCCAGACTGCACTTATTGCAGAAAGGGGGAAAGAGGGGAGTGAAAACAGAAAAACAACCCTCAGTCTCTCTCTTTTTTTTTTTTTTTTTTTGGGGGGGGGGGGGGGGGGGCTGTCATTTTGGCACTCTTACCACTAGGCATTTCTTTTTTCTTTTTTGGTTTAGACTTGATGCCTGGAGGAGGCTTAACATTACGGTGGAGGTTAAACCCTATAAGTTTCTAAGTTGTAGTACCCACCTTTCCATCCCTAATTCTTCCTGATGTTGGCTGGGAAAAGATTAGGCACTCACTCCCCCATTCCATAGCCCCCTAAAGTAATGGATTATGCAGACTCAGCTGTCAGTCACCAGCAACCTCCCATTATCTTCAAGGTTTTGTAAGCCGAACAACATTTGATGCCTAGAACAGGAGCAGCCATTCTTCCTTCCTCCAGCTTACAGGAAAGAGGGGGGTGAGGGGAGGGAGTGACACAACGAATAAACGTTCTCCAGTCTACACCCCAAGGGAATCTTTGGAAGACCCCCAGTCACCCTCATTCACCTGCAATCAGTCATTCGCTGAAGCTCCTTTCATCCACTGGTACCCCCTCATTTCTCATCTCTGCTGGATACCTTAACAAGTGAGAGAGAAAGTGGGGTTCCCTTAATGAACAAGGCGGCCTGTTGTAAGGGAGGAGCCCTTGTCTTGCACAAAGAAAGTTCGGTCCCCCTGTTTACAGGGGGAAGGTTGTGCCTCTGGAGGCACTAATGGTAACGCCAAGGAGCAGCCACTAAATAGATAGTATCCCCATTTCCCTCCCCCTAAGGGAAGCCGTCACAAGCTGCTGCATGAGGAGAGGCCATCACAAAAGAACTGCCCATGGGCACAGATGATGCAGGAGAAGTTTTCCACTCCCCTCTTCAGCCATGGGTCTCTAAGAACTGGAAAGATGCTCCACTTGGATGGTGCTGGTGCTAACCGTGAGACAGATGTCTTTGTGATGCTCCGAAGTTTTATATGGGGTAAGGTCAAAAGAACACTGTGGGGGAGGATTGGACGGGTTCTCTCCGGATGGACCCCCTGCTGCTCCACTGCCCTGTGCTTGGAAGTGCTGCTGCTGCTGCTGCTGCTGTTGTTGTGATGCCTGTGCCTGGACTTGGGCTTGGACCACAGCCACCTGCTGCTGGGGGTCAGGGATGTTGTGTTTCCGCATGTGTTTCATCAAATATGTTTCCTGTAATGGAAAAGAGGCACCAAATAAATTCAGAACCATGGATACAAGGGAAGAGACCAAGTCTTCCATTCCACTAAGAGGATGGCGCACACCCACGGGACACAGCAGAAACCTGTTACCAGAGCTCTCCTCTGAGAGCAGTGGCCAAATGGTCCTCCTGTTGTCTCCCTCTTTCAATTAAGTTGTGCTTACCGAGGTATAGGCCCGATTGCACATGGAGCAGTTGTAAATCTTGGCATGCTTCACTGTGTGGGTGGCTAGGTGAACCTCCAACGAGGTGGCATCTGTGTATGCTCGGTGGCAATTGTGGCACTTGAAGGGTTTGTCTTTGTTGTGCTGCCTTCTGTGGGACTAGAATGGTAGGGAGTGAGAAAAAGGGCAAAGAGTTGAAACCTTGTACTGTCTTCCCTGTTTGGAGGTCTATGAATGTTACTCAAGGAGCCGTCTCCTCCGTATGGGGCAGGCCAGTCCCAATGGGTCGGCAGAGAGGAGGCATGCTGCGGATTACCTCAGTCAAGGAATGGCAGGGTCCAGAAGAAGAGCCTTCTCTGCTGCGGCCCTGGTCCTTTGGAACATCTTGCCCCCTGAGATGAGTTTAGCTCTCACCCTCCTGACCTTCCGCAAGAGCCTGAAGACCTGGCTCTGGCAGATGGGGGCAGTACCATGCGGGACGTGGTTGATCAACTAATAGCAGCTCCCACTTCCCTCCCCTTTACATTCTGTTCTTTGCCTCCCCATCTTTTAGTTTTAGTTATGATTTTAGTTTTTTGTTATGCTTTTACGTGTGTGTGTGTGTGTGTGTGTGTGTACATGTGTGAGATGGGCAGCAAACAAATTTAATAAATAAAATAAATAATAAGTAATGCCATTTCTTAAATAAAAATCAGGCATGTGTATGGGTACACAGGGATGGATGCTATCTATCTATCTTCTAAACGGGCAATTTACACAATATTTATGTAACCAGATCCCCTATTGTTTGTTTTGCCTTTATTCTGCCCAAATTTGTCCAAAATTTGCTGGTTACATCCAATTTACCTTCCCAAATAACTAAATTGTACATCATGCTATTTCAAATGCCATGTATATAAATTTCAACTTAATATAAAAACAAAGGCAAAGGCACAGCAGTGAGTTTATTGTTCCTAAGCAAATAAACAAGTAATCAAATAAATGTGTTAGTATTATTAAAATCTATTAAAGCTGAGCAGTGTAGCTGTGGTTGCCACTCATGCTTCCATTTGGCACAAATCTTGGAACCGAAGGTAGCAAGCAAGACCTAAAACAGCGTAAATTAAGATCTGTACCGGTTGTAGGAATGACATCCTTGGCTAATTTTTGAACTTTGCCTTAGCAAAGTTGGATTCTTTATCTGTGACATTTGATAAAGTAGTTAGTTTGAATCACCAGCCTCCTCTTACCCAATAAAAACAGATTCTCAGGATCACACTTTTCATTATTTTCCTTCAAAACTACTTAAGTTTGTCACAGTTTGCAAACAGGCTAGTGGTTAAATTATGTTAGATGTTCCCCAGTAAAACTGTTGATATAAGGCATAAGATCCCCAAAATGTAAAACCAAAATCAAATGACACATTGTAACAAACAAAGACATGAAACCTTTCCTCCCTCTGCACAAATGTCAATTTTCCCTTGCTTACTTTGTTCAAAGTTCTCCCCACTCCCTCCCAATTAAGATGTTCACCCTGTATAAAAAACCAGAATACTGGCAGAGAAAGGAGGGGACAACCACTGGGCGCATATGTTCTTTCGATTCACCCGCCTAGTGCCTCTGGCCTAATGCTATCCAGCCAATAAAAGGCTACTCCCACCCCTTAATGCTTTCCAATCCCAAGTTGCTGGATATTTGGATCAATTCCTTTAGAGACTAGCCTAGGGGAAGCTGCAAGCCTTACCTGCAAATTTGAAAGTTGCGTGAAAGCCTTTTCACAGCCAGGGTGAGCACATTTATAGGGTCGATCTCCAGTATGAATCCTATCACAAAAAGGATAGAGAGGAAAGATCAGCGGAAGAAAAGTCAGCGTAGAAACCCACTCCCAGATGCTCTGAGCTAGGCAAGCAAGAGATGCACCACCCTTCACCACCTTTATTTCCTCGTTTCTTTGATCAAGCCACATGCCACCTCCTTCCCAGTCCGGCTTAGCTAGCTAAGCTCAGAAGGACAGCCCACAAGAGCATGCAGAAACAAAGGAGAGGGACAAGCAGCTCACAGGCAAGAGGCAAACTCTCAGTTACTTCAGTCACCTGTGGCAGTGCCAGGGCAAAGGACTGGAGAACAGTATCTCAGTCCAAACTGAAGTTGCTTCGTTTAATTCTGCCCTCCACCATGCCAAAGAATAGGCTTGCAATGCCTGCCAAAATAACTAAGGAAATCATACATTTATCCTTTAAAGTGTCAAGGACCATTGCCATACATCCCACTTGTACAGTGCCACTTCTTTATTCCCTGTAGCTTCACGCCCCGCTAGTCCATGCCTGCCTCAGTCTCTCTCTCTCTCTCTCTCTCTGGGACCCCCTGGAAGTGAAAAAGGGGCCACGTCTTCCCCAGGCCAACATTCCCTGCCCTGGCATGGTCAGTGTCTCCTCTGTAGCCCCCACTCCTTCCTCTCTGGCAGGCCACATCTTTCCAATTGACAGGACTGGCTTCATCCCCCACCCTCTCCCTACATGCTTGGCGTGTGTGCTCCAAAATAGTGCATGCTGACGGCACGGGGGGCCAGGCTGGGCCCCCAGCCTCCTTGGCCCTTACCGTGTGTGCTGCTGTAGGTGGGAGAGCTGGCGGAACGCCTTCTGGCAGTAACGGCACGTGTAGGGTTTGACCCCCGAATGGATGCGGAGGTGCTGGGCCAGGTAGGACGTGTTGGCGAAGCTCTTGGAGCAGTGAGGGCACTTGTGTGGCTTGACAACCGCAGTGTGGAGCTTGGAGTGGATCCTGCCGAAGAGGAGGAGCAGGGGCAGCAGTTGGACATGACCGCCAGCAGGCTAGCAATGACAACATGAGGAATGGTACCATGCTGTCTCTCGCTACAGTGGAGGAAAACCAAGTGGGATACTTGCCCTGAACTCCACAAAAGGGAGTGCAAGACCAGGAGGCCAGAGAGAGGAGTTGGGAGTGGTGCCAGAGGATGTGTGTGAGAAATTCTGGGCTGGGGGAGCAAGGGGACGGAGCTGCTCAGCAAGTGTTTCTGTGATGTGAGGTGGGGAGGCCATCAGTCCTGCACCTACAGATTTCAGTCTCCCAGACATCATCATTAGGAACTCCTGTCTCTGACGGCCCAAGAGCTTCTCCATTTTCTCACAGGCTGTTCTTTGGCAAAGGACCAGGATAGCATACATTAAGAGGCCCCTCTGCTCTTTGCACAAAGTAAGCATGGACCAACTGGCAGGAAATGGCTGAGATGCTCTGAGCAGTCTCCCCATGGACACTTGCCTCATGCTACAATGTTGGCAGCATGCATCGTAGATGTTCCCCCCACCACCAACCCCGTCTCATCGGATCTTACCGTGTGTGCTGTTGTAGATGTGAGAGCTGGCGGAAGGCTTTCTGGCAGTAGCTGCAGGTGTAGGGCTTAGCCCCTGAGTGGATGCGTATATGTTGGGCCAGATAGGAGCTGTTTGCAAAACTCTTGGAGCAGTGAGGGCACTTGTGTGGCTTTGCCTCGGTGTGGGACTTGGAGTGGATCTGCATTTCTGACTTGGAGTAAAAGGTCAGGGAACACATCCGGCACCTGAGACCAGGTTGAGGGGGAAAGAGACAAAGTCACTCAAGGGTGGGTCAATATCTATGTCCCTAGGATCATCTACAGCTGACCACAAAGATCCTATCGCTTGAAAGAAGAGCTGCCCACATCCAGTCCTGATTAATTCTGTTAAGAGGTCAAGGAATAAAACTGATTTGGATTCAGCTCTTTCCGGAAGGCCTTCCTTAGGTTAGACTGCCTGGGAATATTAACAGTACTAACACATCTGGAGAATATCACGCAGGGACTAAATGATCTTCTTTTCAACTAAAGAAATGACAAGTATCAGGGAAGACATAACCAGTTAAAAGTATTTTTGTGCTAAATTCTTAATCCCTATGGAATCTGAAATTTAAAGATTCTTTCTCAATTCGATGTTGAGAAAGATGTTTTGAATTACAGTTTGTTAATCCCCAGCCAGCACTCTAACCTGAAGAAGTTGTGAGTGCTCCAACACTGGAGGCTTTTAAGAAGAGACAGGATAACCATTTGTCTGGAATAGTACAGGGACTCTCGCTTGTGCAGGGGGTTGGATTAGAGCAGGGGTCGCCAACCTTTTGGACCTCGGGGACCACCAAACTCATAATTTTAGATCCCAGGGACCACTAACCAGTTCTATGGGCGTGGCCTAATTTGTGGGTGTGGCTTGGTGGTCATGTGACTGGCTGGGCATAGCTTGTATGTAAATATTATAAATATTTATATAAATATTGAATTTTTTTATAAAAAAGAACAACTTTTACCCAAAATCAGGCAAAGCAGGCAGGTAGATTGAGTTGCTCACAGAATCATAGATTCATTCAGAGATCTATCTATCTGCCATTGGCTAGCTCTGTCTGTCACATAAAATTTGCTTGCAAGCAAACTAAATTAATTCACAACACACCATGCATGTAAATATTGAATTTTTTATAAAAAAGAGCAACTTTTACCCAAAATCAGGCAAAGCAGGCAGATTGAGTTGCTCACAGAATTATTCAGTGATCTATCTATCTGCCATCGGCTAGCTCAGTCTCTCAAATTTGATTGCCATGAGTCTGCACTGAATTTTCTTGCAAGCAAACCTTCAGTCCTAAGGGAGGTTCGGCTGTGCTGAGCCGAAGATCTAAAGACTAGCTAGAAAGCAAGAAATCCAACCATTTTCTGCTTCCTAGCTAATCTAAATCATCATCTAAGATGATGGTTGGAAAAAGGAAAAATAGCAATTTAGCAGGCAAGTTTACCGGGTAAGGAGTGAGCGGGCGGGGAGGGTTACCGTGGGCCATGTGGGCGACGCAGCCTTGTGCTTCTGTGCAGCCTGGATTAATTGCTTTAGGGGGGTGCTCTGGGGGTGAGATTTCTCTGCGGCCCACCAAAATTTTCTCACGGCCCACCGTTTGGCAACCGCTGGACTAGAAGACGTCCAAGGTCCCTTCCAACTCTCTTATTTTGTTTTTCTGACTGAATTCATATCATATTAATATTAAATTACTGGATGAAAAATGGATATTATTTTGATTCTAATTAGGTTTTTAAACCTTTCTATTATGTTCAATTCTTTTCAGTCATTATACAAGGTGTTTCTAAGACCAGATACCGAAAAAGAGCTCAAATGGTAACATGGTCAAAACTCATGAAGCCATGCACAGAATCACAGAATCATAAAGCTGGAAGGAGCTTCTTCTACCATTCTGGACAAACGGTTGTGCAATCTTTTCTTGAAAACATCCACACATACAACTCTGGGAGGCAAGCTGTTCCATTGGTTAATTGTTCTCACTGTCAGGAAATTTCTGTCTCTTTAACAAACTTCTACCCATTGCTTCTTGTCCTGCCCTCAGGTCCTAATAAATATATAATAAATAATGAAAATATGATCCTTATATTTTTAAGCAAAATACTATGAAAAATGTGCTACTCATGGATAAGCTATCCTTTACATTTTTTGTATGTTTTAATTTTCACAATTAGCTTATCCGATGGTGCCACATTTTCATGGTATTTTTAAAAATCTAAGGGATGCCTTATCTGTCAGTATATATTGATTTATTATGTTTATTTATATATGGATACTTTATTATGGATAATCATAGATAAGCTCGCGTGCAGATAAGTTGAACACAGTTTGGGGGGTTATTTTTGAACCAAAAATACATGGCTTATGTACAAATATATACAGTGATAGTAACAGAATATTATATAAATCAATACAATGCAACAATTTAAAACTTTCCGATAAGCCTCAGCTTCTGCAGCAGTGGAACTATCTTTCACAAATGCATTCTAAGCTTCTTTCTAGCATATATAAAATCAGAACAAACAGATTCCCAACAAAGCAAATATCCTCAACAAAGAGGTGTAATTTCACTGAATACCCTGATTTCTAAACTAAAGATTGGTATAGTAGAATGTCTCCACTAATCAGCTGTGCTCTTGTTAATCTCATCTTGCTATGGTGCTCTAGCATCTAAAATATTCTGATAAAAAAAACAATTAAAAGTCATAATTACACAACTTTAAAAGACCCAATTGCAAAGAAATTGATTCCTCTACTAAAAATGGTCAGAGTAATGATAAATACAATCCTTTGCCTTCCATAAACGGAAGGGCGGGGGGGGGGGGAATCCTCTCACATGTCCAAGAAACAGGTGTCTGAAATCTAGGAGACACTCCAACCTTAGTACAGTTGAGATAAGTAGTTACCTGCTTAGAGCTTTAAAGATAGTAACTATCTTTAATTTAGTGGAAAACACAACTGGCAACCAGAACGGACATTTCAATCCAGGCAAATACACATTATCACGTATCCAGCGGGTGCTGTCTTTTGCTCTGCCTACATAAAACATGCTGTAGTAGTATAATCCTGATGTAATAAAGGTTTGGGTAATCACTGGCAAATCCGATCGGATTAAGAACAGACATATCTGGCATACTTTTGGCTATGAAAACATACCAGCTGTCATTTTCTCCCTTGGCAGGGAGCCAAGGAACCCTCCTTGACTGAGCAGCCATTCTTTTAGGAGTAAATTTTACTTTACATAGAGCTAAATATCAGCTTAGACTTGCTGAAGGTTCACCAGCATACTTGAAGGCACCTCGTTCCAAAGTTATGGATAGCCTCCAATAGCAGTTCTATATAAATTAATAAGTAGCAAAAATTAATATAATAGAACTCTAATACTATAGAACAGGGGTCGCCAACCTTTTGGACCTCAGGGACCACCAAACTCATAATTTTAAATCCCAGGGACCACTAACCGGTTCTGTGGATGTGGCCTAATTTGTGGGTATGGCTTGGTGGTCATGTGACTGGCTGGGCATGGCTTGTATGTAAATATTATAAATATTTATATAAATATTGAATTTTTTATAAAAAAAGAGCAACTTTTACCCAAAATCAGGCAAAGCAGGCAGGCAGATTTAGTTGCTCACAGAATCACAGATTCATTCAGAGATCTATCTATCTGCCATCAGCTACCTGAGTTTGTCTCATAAAACTTGCTTGCTGTGAGTCTGCACTAAATAATAGAACCTTCAGTCCTAAGGGAGGTTCGGCTGTGCTTAAAAGCAGAACCGAAGATCTAAAGACTAGCTAGAAAGCAAGAAATCCAACCATTTCCTGCTTCCTAGCTAATCTAAATCTCCTGGCACAGCAGAACAGATTATGGTCGGAAAAAGGAAAAATAGCAATTTAGCAGGCAAGTAAGGACTGAGTGTGCGGGGAGGGTTCCTGCGGGCCATGTGGATAGCGCAGCCTTGTGTTTCTGCGCAGCCTGGATTAATTGCTTTGGGGGGGTGCTCTGGGGGGGGAGACTTCTCTGCGGCCCACCAAAATTTTCTCACAGCCCATCGGTTGGCAACCGCTGCTATAGAACAAGAAGCCCAGCTCAAAGCCTATTAGAATACACATCCATAAAAGACAGGGCTAAAATTGAGGACTCTTTCTTTTCTTTTGTGATATCAGGAACTTTTAAAAGTAAAAATGGATGCCTAAACCTTGGAGATAAAAACATCAAATTCACCCTTTAAATACCCCAAACCTATCCCACAAATTACTTACACCAAACCTCACTGTGGCTTATTTGTCTACATAAAACAGACTTTAGGTCTTATTTTCAAGACATTTTGTCCACATGTTCTTTTCAACTACATAAGCTAAAAGGAATCTAATATAACAGGGACCACTGATTTCAAATGATTTTACGTCTAATATGAAAACAAGAGTCTAGGTTTAACCAGTTGAGTAGCTAAATCTAATTTATTAAAAAATAATGGTCTCAATAAAAAGAAATTGACACCAATAAAGAGAACCTAGACATGTAATATTTGGTTGGAACCAGAAATTGTCCCTTCATCTTCTACATCAAATACAAAATTTGTATAGAAAACAGCAATATACTAGAAAATATGAGAGGTGGTGAACAGGAGCTGCCAGCATTATAACTTAAGACACTTGAGAATTGTTTCCTATGTGGACTATTTCAAGAGTTTCAATGAATTCCCAGTCAATGACTTAACTTCAGTTGGGTTCATTAATTATTACTCCTAAAAAATCTATAGGAATTTTGTGATCATATTGAATGTTAGCTTTGCAGCTACAGTCTTGCACATCATACTGCAACTTAAACAAGTAAAGCCAAAACTGCTGAGCTTGTTGCCACTGGCTCCTTGTTGTTTACTCCATTCTCTTTGGATCTGATGCACCCTTCTGAATGGCATAGAAGTGTTGCGGCCAATGAAGGGAGTCAAAAGAACTACACATTTGACAACTATATTGGTTATTTAAATTGCCGGCATATAATATAAATGCTGAGGTTCTGATACTCATTGATATCAAACAGAAAATAAGATTTTTGCAATCAAAGTAGTTGCAAGGTGTAGTTAAAGAAAAATGTGAGGGGATCTTCAAGGTTGTTGTTGTTTTAATTGGCAAAGACTTTACCTAATATGAACATATTTTGAAAAAGAACTATTTTAGTCACAGACTAGAGAAAATGTATTCCTGTCCCTTACAGTTTCCAGTTTGGTTGGGCAAAAATACTATTATGGTATACATGAAAATTGACAAAACACTTACATACAGTTTTAAAAATACATAGCCTTATTGGGAGCCTAGTCATCCTATTCCCCTGTAGGGTTGTAACACTTCGTATTTGTCCTTTTTGGGGTACTGCATGACTACGTTTTCTCATAAATGCTTTTCTTTGACCAATAATCATTTTCTTGGATTTCTCTTTTGCAGATTATGAGTCTTTTATGACATTTCTAAATCTCCTCTTCCACATAGGCTATGGTACTTTCAAGGCATTTCTCTTCTTTTTATCCATAATTTGGGATACCATTTAATATTATATTCCTTAAATATTTTTTCAAATTACATTAACATATACATTTGAAATTTGAAAGAACAAAGCTGCAACAAGACCCAACCATATGAGTTAAAGAACATTCAAATTTCTTACCCTGCACCACTATAAAAAAAAAATCCAATGCCTATCCCTTTTAAAATAGACTTTAAGGAGCGCAAAATACATGAAGTACTATTTTCTGATGAACTAGTTTCATTTTTTAAATTTATATGATGTATATGTCACATTTTTAAAGCCTGGACTCATTTTTAAAAACTGGATATTCCAATTCTTCTCCTCATAAATCAAATATATAGCAAATGCTAACTTTTATTTTACTTTTAATGTGTTGTAAAACTGAACTATTGGTTTCAAGCACCATATATGTTAAAAGTGCAATAATTGCAAGCATCTCAGATAGTTAATACATCTGGGCTATACTGTTTATTTAATATACGTTTCAGTTGTATGTACAAGCAGTCCTTGACTTACGACCACAATTAGGACTGGAAGCTCCAGTACTAAGTGCGGTGTTAAGTGAATTTCGCTCTTATTTTATGACCTGTTTTGCCATGATTATGAAATGAATCCCTGCAGATGTGAAGTGAATCATGCGGTCATTAAACAACTCCAGCTTCCCCCTTGACTTTGTTTGTTGGAAGCTGGCTGGGAGGTTGCAAACTGTGACCATAAGAGGCTGCAACCATTTAGCTATGTAAAGTATTATTCCCCTTTTAGCCCAAATATTCCAATAGAACTTCATTCCTGCTATTTTCAGATTTGAGTTATACCCACAATTTCAGCTTTTCACGTTATTCAGAGTCAAACTGCTTCCCTGTTATTAAGCAAATATGACTAGCAGCTTTCAAACTAAGATAGATAGATCTTGGTTTAATATGTCTAGATCTTAACATCAGCCATGATTTGAAGGGTATTCCATATTTGCTTTCTAAATGACCCCAGAGAAGAAAATAATCCTAATATCCCTTATTCCCCAAAAATATAGACATTAAGCCAAATGATACTGTGAAAACTGTGGAAGATTCCTTGTAATTTCTTGATAGCCTCTCATCCAATTACTAGCCAAATCCATCCCTGCTTAGCTCTTTCAATATCAGCTGATATTTATTAGATGCTGCCATCTGACATGATACAAAATTCATATACACGGTATTTCCAGTATTCCACTAGATGGTGAAAAAATTATACACCAACTTATAAATGCGCAAATCAAGAAATGAATTTTCCATATGATCACCAACACAAATTCTTTATACAAAGTGCGTTTCTCATGAACAAGGATGGTACAATTACAAATGTTGCTTTAAAAGCAATTGTAATAGAATCAGGGCAAGGCAAATTAATATATTTAGAAACACCCAGTATCACAAGTGCAAGATTCCCATACTGACAAATACGCTTTCTCCAAAAACACATTAATTTCAAATAAAGCTTATTGTGCTACTTGCTAAAAATAGGGTATTTGGTTTGTGGGACTATAGTGTTTCTTCCCAAGCCCAATCTGTTCAGCAATATCCATAGTACAAAGCTCAGTCTTCAAATTTTATCTTGGAGATAGATTCTTCAGAAGAATATTATTGCATTCATACAAGCAATCCAACTATGCTATTACATTAAAATACTTTATCAATCCCAAACAAGGACAGCATGATCATCCATCCAGTCTACTACAGTTCTGTCAGGCAGAATTAGACATCATAATATGACCACAGCCCTTGATAATTTTCATTAGCTCCTCAAGAGTTTAATGTATTCACTAGCAATACCAGAACAAGACACTTTAGTTAGAAACGAGTGAATAAATCATGAAATAAGTCAACTGCTATTACAAGTTTACCACTGCCAGAAAGAATAAAACTGTAATTCACATCATGGAGACATGAGAGACGACTAAATTCACATAGGTAGTTCTGGCATGCAGTTGCATGTACCAACCATTATATTAATTTAGAGATCAACTTACAGAATCAACTACATTGTAAAAGCCAGCCAGGGAAAAGTTATTGTTCAGTATAACCTGCTGGGTTCTATTGCATACTTCCTGCTTACCTAAATCACAAGTAAACCAGAAGCGCAATGAACTAGAGTGCCACATCATGGAAGAAGACAGTTCCCCTGTAATTCAAATGAAATACTACTTGTTCATATGCACTCTTGTGAAATCTGCCCAGAGCGTTTTGAATTGGGTAGGCTATAAAAACTGTCAGATAAATCAAATCCAGGTTTTCTAATCCCCATAATCTCACCTGTATGTCTTGCCATCTTTGTGCTGGTCTTCTTCATCGTCATTGGGTAACACAAAAGGATCACTCATGTCCGGCAGGCCCGTTTCCTGCAGCCGCTTCTTTTTTCTTCCTCTGGGAGCTTTAGGGGTGATACTTCCAGTAGCGCTCACTGCTCCACCCTCTGCAAGGGCGCCCTTCTTAGAAAGGTCAGGTATCACTTGGAGAGCCTGGGAACCAGGAGGAAGAGCTGAGACAATCATGGGTGCAGAAATGGGAAAGGTTTGCACAGAAGAGGCTGTGGTCACCAGGGATCCAGAGGGAGAAGTTATTACCAGACCGGGTCCTGTAGGAGAGAAAACAGAAGGATTGTTTCAAACCCCACAAGTCCTAATCCCGCCGTCAGCATGTCAAAGAAAGGAAACCATACTAATATAATTATGTATAATTGCTACTGGGGTAGGCCTGCAGGGCTCAAATCTAAATGTTCATGCAGGAGCTTCATCCTAAAACCCTAGGCCTACCTCTCTGAATTGCTGCAAGAAAATACAAAGGAAAAAAAAAGGTATGACTGCAAGCTTTAATAAAACCACACACCCGGGCAAGTGTGATTCTACTTTCTAGACTAGATTAGCTATTATCTAGATGGAAACATATTTTATGATAAAGCAATATTTAGGTCATACTAAAACATTTAATTGGAATGCCCCATTTCCAATGTCTAAGAAAAGCTGAACTATATTCTTTTATCAAGAAGAATCTAAAATGTTGAGTTAGCAACTGGACCATCCAAATTACCTCACCTGTTGTCATGAGCCCAGTAGACTGCACTGGTACCACTGTGATGTTCTGTGTTACTGACGTCTGGCTGGTTGGGGTAAGGTGTTCTGGCTTGGTGTCAGAATCCATAGAAATGTTGGTGGGAAGGGCCACAGAAGTGGGGACAGTCAGTAAAGTAGGATAGTGAGGAGGAGCCAGACCACAGCTCTTTTCTGAGGGCAACAACTGCTCCTTCATTTTATTAATGAACATACTGTTGTCAATCTAAAGAGAAAATGGAAGTTTTAGAATAGTCACGGGCCAAACTTCATAAAAAGCAAATTACATTTCAAGATATTCCTTACCTGCCCCGAGACTGTGGGCACTGCTGGCCAGAAATACGGGGAGGAGTTGAAGTGAGATTCTTCCATTCTAGCTGGGAGACATAAAGATACAAGGCTGGTTGTCAAACTATGTAATGTCTATATGATATTGAGAACCATCTTGATTTCTCCACAATACCAATTCTGATTCTGAGACTTCGTTAGTTCATTGTAAACAAACTAGAATTTACTAGTATGTTCTGATGTTCCAAACATTAAAATAGCTCTCAAATTTTCCAAGCATCATTGAAAGGAAATCATGCTTCATATAGTTATAATTTTCATGAAAAGACACGTTAGGAATATATAAATACTCCAATTTCTCAGTCTCTCTCAAAAATGTTGGCAAGATGGCAAGCCAAACACAGCAGCAAGATTTTTGTAATCTCTAGAAATGACTGACCCCCATTTTAACACAAAGAATTGGCAAAGGACCCTGCATCTCAATGTAGTAAACTACTAATGATTATTAAATACGGGGAGTTTGCAAAAACTGATCTTGTTTAGTTCTCTGGCATACAATGAGGGACACAAATTATCTGCTGAAAACTGGGGTGAAATCTAACACAGATGCACAGGTGATTTTTTTTTCAATCCTTCAAAAAACATTTTACAAATTATGTAGGGGCTGGAATTGTCTTTCTAATTCTGTTGAGGAAGATTCCATACTGAATCAGCCACAAATAATCATATCCTAATTCTGGATACTCTCTGCTGAGCAAAGTATTAAAAACACTCTCTCCAGTTGTGGCAAAAGGATCCTGTCCTGGTTCAAATTCCTGCATTTCTGCACTTACCTGCCAATAGAATTCCATACATAGCTTCTAGAATTACGAGTGATGTAAAGTAGTCCCTATTCTTTAACTTTGAAAAAAATCTCAGAATGCTATATTTTTAATCTCAATAAGGTAAAAGAAATTCTCAATGCTACATGTTATTAAATAACTTAAATCTTGATAGTAGATAAGCAAAATCCATGGTTTGAAAAATCTTGATCATATAGCTTTTACAAAGTTTATATAGCATGACACAAACATACCAGGAACATGCACTTAAATTACTTATTCAAATTTCAGTAGCCTCCAACTTCTGATAGAGCTCACAATGGATTTAGTTTCTGTTGTGCTGAAGGATAACTAAGGAGCAATTAAAAAACAAATATTCTTGGTTTCATTGAAATGGCCAAAATTTAATAAACATGTTTCAGGGTGAACTTTGAAATATTCACCGCATGTATGTTATCTAACTTATATTAGCAGATCACAGCTACTTAGCAACTCATTCCCTACACTCTCAAGCATCCCAAAGGAAAACTGTGCTGTTCTTTAAAGGCAGTTTTCAGCCTAAAATGCTAAAGTTGCAGATGTAACATACCAAAAGCCTGCTATAATTATGCAAAAATGAACAATCCATGATTCCTACAATTACAGCACTAGACTATTTCTTTCCTGGAAATCTGCATTCCATCCCCATCTTTCTCCCAATCTCATCCTGTGGGCCTGCACCTGTTGTGAAAAACAACAACTATAGACTTCAAAGCAAGATCATTGAAGCATCCCAAGCACAGGCCTAGAAGTCTACCACGTTCCGAAAGCTGGTATAATTAAATGTGTGTGTGAGGTGGTGGGGTAGAATAGCCATAGCACTTAGCTTTATATACTGCTTTACGGGCACTTGCAGAGTCAGCATATTGCCCCCAACAATTTGGGTCCTCATTTTCCCCACTTCTAAAGAAACTCTAAAGCTAAAGAAACCATCTACAGAAAATACAAGCTGAGGAAATGAGATCTATCCTGAAATAAGTTATGTGAGAGATCAAGCCATGGGTTTACAAAGCCCAACCCCGCTCGGCTCCAAGGAAGCCCAGAAGCAATTTAGGGAGCCACCACTCCTCCTTTTTTCCTTTGGCAACAATATTCAGAGGGTTGCAGGCTTTGAACCCCAGGGATCTATATCTGCAAAGGAGGGCATCACGATGCACGCTACGAAGAACAACTTTCCTCTAGTCGGGACCAATTGCCCTCCCGCTTGAGAGGCGCCAGAAATCGAAGACACCGGCGAGGAACTAGAGAAAATCGGGGCACCCTAAGCCCCCCCCTTCCCCCCACCCCCAGGACCCCTCGCCCACATTCGCACCCCCAGCTCCCTTCGTTGGCACTGACCCCGCCCGCGGCCCCTCGCTCTCCGACCCGCCCGGGCTGAAGCGGGGAACAGTGGTCGCGATGACGCGGAGTCCAGCGGCGCACGGGCCACCAGTTGAGATGGGGCAGCCCCGGAACCTCCGCCTCCACCTCCGCCACCCGCCGCCGTTCCCCCGGAGAGCCAGGCGGACAGCAGGCAGCCCTTCTCTTCCGCTTCCGGATGATTTAACCCCGGAAGTCCTCCTTGTCGAGGAAAGCCACTCATATTCTCCCGCCCGCTGCCCATTCATCTGCCCCTCCCGACCCCCGGAGACAGCCCCCCAGCTCTGGCCCGAGTGGCGGCAACGGCAACCTCCTCCTCACCGGAAAAAGGAGCAAAAAATCACTTCCGAGTTGAGGAGGCGGCGTTTGAGTTAACACTTCCGGGGCATGGTCGCGGAAGTTTGAATCGCTTCACTGCTTGCCGGAAGCGACGTGGTTTCTAGACGTGTTTGAGGAAGAGCGGGCTTTTCCCTTTGCTGCGTTGAATGTCTAAATGTAAAATCGGATCGACGTAACGGAGGCGAGGTCCACCTGCCAAAGATCCGTTGGTAGGGCCTGATTCCTGCACCCTGCGGATCTTGCGGAAAGGGACTTCAGAGTGCCATGCAGCCTCGTCCAGGCCGCAGGGGAGAGAAGGCCGGCCTAGGCAGGGGAGAGAAAGGCTAAAAATCAACAAGCGTTGGCAGGGCCCCTTGCAATCCAAAGTCTCATTTAGAGAGTGATCCTGTATACCGTTTACCCATCCGATCAGTACAGATAAATATGGATGATCGGTTAGTAGCTGAAATGCAAACACCTGAGCCAACCCAGAAGGTTGGCCACAAGATCCTGGAAGAAGCATTGAAGATGTGTGTGCTAAAAACCTTAGTGCCAGGAAGAAATCAACCTTCCTCTCAATCTCACAAAGGCAAAGTGAGAAAAAGGAAGGCCACTGTGGAGGAGTCTGACCAACATCCCCCTTCCAAAACTGTTGCAATGTACTGTTACACTAAATGTTGCAATGGTCAACCTTGTAAAAGTGATGGATGGACAACCTAATGTTGCCATGTGATAAGTGCTGACTGTGTGGAAAAATACTGGCTGGAGAAACGAAAGTTATATGGAGAAACGAAAGTTATATGGGAGAAACGAAAGTTATATGGGAGATAAGAGTAACTGGGCGGGGCTAAGAAGTAGGGGCGATAAGACACCAGCTATGGCATAGTTTTTGCATTAGCATAATTATGTGGAAAGCTTCTTTGTTTCTGCTATGACGTGTGCAAGTAGCCTATAAAAGGAGCACCCACCATTATTAAAGTGCCTTTTCATCCAGAGTAAACACTGTGTGCCGTGTGTTTATTTATTTATCATGAGAAGGCCCAGGGCTCTGAGTTCAGACCCTGCCGTCGCCAGGAGGCAGGCAGTGAAAAGCCACACAAAACTTTCCAAACTACTTAGGACTCTCAGAAGGAGACCCTAGACCTGTTTGATCCAGAGGAAAACAAAAAGACAGACAAGCTTGTCTTCAGGCAGACACCAAAGGTAATAGGGAACTACCTGTGGGGTTGGCAGATGAATGTACCTGAAGATCATCCCCTCAGCATAGACCCAAGAACTTTCTTGCAGGGTATGTGCCCCCAGATCTGCCAAAAGCTCATAGAAGAAATTCAGGCTTGGAGAGGAGTCAAATTCCAGCTGGCACTAAAGGTTGATCTCTGAAAAGGTACTTGCAGAGAGGTTACACTTTGTCACAAACAGGAAGTTGTCTTGCAGAACAGTGAGATCAACATGGCACTAGACAAGGCATTCCCCACTATTCAGGAGACACTTGAGAAATTGACCCAGATAGGCTCCGGTTGGATAGTTAAAAAAGTGCCGACTCTCTGGCTGAATATTGCCTGGTTTCAAGCCTTCCAGGTGGCTCCTACATCCCACTACCACCTGTCGTGAAAAAGAAAAAAGCGGTGATAAATGTGAAAAACAAAGATGATCACTGTCTGAGGTGGGCACTCTGCTCAGCCCTGTTCCCTGCAAAAGACCATGGGGATAGACCCGCCAAGTACTCCACTGAGGACGGCCTTAATTTCGAAGGGACCCAAGCCCCCACACCCATCTCCCATATCCAGAGGGTAGAAAAACAGAACAATCTAGCCATCAATGTCTTTGGCTGGGAGAAGGGCATCATCATCCACCGGGTCAACTCTCAGCCACGAGACATACCCAGGATAAACCTCTTGCTGATCGAGGAGGCTGGTAAGTTCCACTACACCTGGGTGAAAAATCTCAACAGATTACTGCACGATCAAACTAAGCATTGAGGGCGCAAACATTTCTGTGACCTCTGCCTCCACTGCTACACAAGAGAAGACCTGTTGGAAGCCCACAAGCCGCATTGCCTTGGGATTGGGCAGACGGCAGTCCCATATCTCATATACGCCAACACTGAGGCCCTCATCACAAAGATCAAGGGCTCCAAGCCCGGCACTACAAAGAGTAACATTCAGAAAACACAACAGCATGAGGCCTGTGGTTGTGGTTATATAGTTGTGCCCTATGATGGTCATACAGAGCAATCAGTTATAATCAGAGGGCCAAATGCAGCAAAGGACTTTCTAAACTGTCTCTTAGAAGAAGTAAACAAAATCAAGTTGAAGCTGGCCAAACCCCAACCCATACGGATGACCCAAGACAGCTGTCAGGCCTTCAAAGCAGCCACTATCTGCCACGTGTGTCAGAAGCCACTTGATGAAAATCCTGTCCGTGACCATTGCCACATCAAAGGCAATACCGAGGTGCTGCCCACAATAACTAACCTTAAGCTGAGGCAACTCTCCGAAATCCAGTCATTCCAGTTGTCTTCCACAACTTGAGGGACTATGACTCCCACCTCCTGATGCAGGTTATCTCAAAGATAGAGAACCATAAGATCTTCTGCATCGCAAACTACACAGAGAAATACATCTCTCTAGGACCACTCCGGTTCATTGACAGTGCTCAGTTTCTACCGGCCTCCCTTGACGAACTTGTTTCAGCTAACCAGTCTAAAGGCTTTCCAATTATGGCTCAGTTTGAGGAAAGAAGAGAAAGGTAAGAATGCCTGCTGCGTAAGGGCATCTACCCATACATGGATTCTTGGGAACGGTTCACTGAGTCGCAGCTCCCACCAAAGGAAGCATTCTACAGCAAACTCACAGAAGAACACGTATCGGAGGCTGACTACGACCATGCCCAAAAGGTCTGGAAAGCCTTTGAGTGCCAAACACTAGGGGACTACCATGACCTCTACTTGCAAACAGACGTACTCCTCCTAGCAGACATCTTTGAGACATTCCGGAAGACTTGCATGCAGCAATATGGTCTAGACCCTGCCCACTATTATACGAGCCCAAGCGTTTCTTGGGATGCACTGCTAAAAAAGACTGGTGCAGAGCTCGAGTTGCTCACAGACCATGACCAGCACCTATTCATTGAGAAAGGGATGCCGGGTGATATCTCCATGGTCTCAAAGCGCTACGCAAGAGCCAACAACCCCCAGGTAGAGGGCTATGACTGTTCTAAGCCGAACATTTACATCATGTACCTTGATGCAAATAACCTATATGGATGGGCCATGAGCCAGCCTCTTCCTACAGGAGGCTTCAAGTGGAAAGAGGATTTGCAGAATTTGGAAAAAACAATAGTGAACCATCCAGCAGACAGCCCAGAGGGTTACATCCTCGAGGTGGACCTGGAATACCCTGTAGAGTTCCATGACATGCAGAATGCCTACCCACTGGCCCCAGAGCACATGGTGGTTCAGAAAAAGTGGATGTCAAAGTACCAGCACGAGCTCCTTGGCAAAGGCATGGCATCTACCGAGGTTGAAAAACTGGTCCCCAACCTCTACAAGAAGGAACGCTATGTGCTACATTACCGCAACCTCCAGCTTTACCTGTCTCTTGGCATGTGCCTGAAGAAGATTCACCGGGCCTTGAAATTCAAGCAGAGCCCTTGGATGGAGCCCTACATTAGGATGAACACAGACCTCCGCAGAAAAGTGAGTAGTGACTTTGAGAAAGATCTGTACAAGCTAATGAACAACAGCGTGTGTGGGAAGACCATGGAGAACCTCCGCAAGCAAGTCAATGTCAAACTAGTACGCGCAAATGAGGAAAAGAAACTGCGGAAAATAATAGCCAGCCCAACATTTGCAGAGGCAAACATATTTGTTGATGACTTGGTAGCCATCCTGGTTCACAAGAGCCACATAGTCCTCAACAAGCCTATATATGTGGGTATGAGCATCTTTGACCTCTCAAAATATCTCATGTACGACTTTTACTATAACAAGGTAGAGGCTCAATATGGGGAGCGCTGCCAACTCCTTTACACTGATACTGATTCCCTTCTTCTTGAGTTCCAAACAGGATGTATATAAGGATATGATCACACGGGCAGACCTCTATGACACATCTGACTACCCAAAAGATCATTTCCTTCACAGCATAACAAACAAGGCCTTAGGGAAGGTGAAGGATGAGTGTGCTGGATTGCCCATTGTTGATTATGTTGGCCTGCGCCCCAAGATGTACTCGATCCTGGAGGTTGGTGGCCCAGGGGCCAAGAATATCAAGAAGGCCCAGGTGTGAAAAAGAGTGTCATGAAAAAGCACATCCATCATGAACATTACAAAGAAGCCCTCTTCAGCAAAGCGACCTTCTGCCATGATATGTATGTGCTGCGGTCTGAGCATCACCACATCTATGAACAGCACCTGAACAAGGTAACGCTGTCCCCCTACGACAACAAGCGCTGGATTGCAGAAGATGGTGTGGACACCCTAGCCTATGGCCACACTGAATGCCACAGGCATGCAGTATCTGGCTAGGAGTGAATGATGCTACTTTGTAACGTGATGCCAGCTAGGTATCAGGAGGCACCATGAGGAATTCTTCCCAGACAGTTGGTACGAGTTTCTCATTGTGGAATGTAGAATATTAAACCAAAATCCATGTAGTTTAAAATATTCCTCTCTTGACTCATTTAACTGTCTTATTTTTTTTCCCCTAACGGGGAGGGAGCATTAATGAGCAAGGTTTTTGGCTTACTCCTGTCTCATGAATTTCTTTTGTACTCAGTCATTTTTGATGTTGCACTTAGGATTGATGATTTTAACCAAGTCAAGAAAGGCTTATATACACCTGAATGACTTCAAGAACAATTATTTTACAGTGTTCTTGTGATTTTAACCAGATGGCCATTCTTAGAAAAATCAGTATTATTCCAAATTGTTTCCATTTCAGCATTAAGTGTCTGACTGGATTTGTGGAATCCCAGAGCTTTAGAAAGTGTT